AAACATAAAAAAGAAAAGAAAAATAGATACATAAAAGCAAAACTTTTGATAAAAAAAAAGAAAGAAATTAAAACTATTGAGCAATAGGTACATTAAAAAGAACTTTTTTTCTCTGCTTTCGATGCATTACTCTAAAAAGGATCATTAATAAGAAAATTTTTCGACTCTACATTTATAACAGCAACATGAAAAAAGAAAAACACACATAAAAAAGCACGATTTTAATCACCGCTGGACAAGACAAGTTTTCCCAACAGCAACATCTCCAACAACAATGACTTTTGTCAGTCTGAACTTATAAAAATGTAAATATAGTATATGTTTTTTGAAGACACACATATTGATAATTCAAGTTACATTTTCCCTGGCTATAATTATTTCAGTTACAGTAGAGCCTTGATTATGTCTGAAAAGTCTTTGATTTCAATACTTCTGTTAATCGAAATTGATTTTGAAGTGTTTTTTTCTTCTTCATGCATACTTATTTCTTTTCCTATTTAAATTTTAATGCCCTTTTATGTAAGCAAAAATAAATGTTTTATTATTCGGTGATATTAAAAATAAGAATTGTTAAATACTTAAAAAGATATGTTTAATAAATTGTATTTCATTATAATTAAGAAGTTGTATGAATATTATAAATAAATGAAATGAACTTTTAATCAATGACATCAGCTAAGAATTCAAAATTAGATATTGCTACAATAAATATACAAACTTTACTTTCTAAAAATATTTTGAAAAAGGTATTGTAACTTAAAAAAAGGATCCTTANCTTGTAGACAAAACCTTAAAATGAATAAAAAATTATGAATAAATAATGAGCAATACTGAACACGCTAATAAGCAATTGAACAATCAAAAAATATTATTTTGTGCGATAGAAGCACTTTTAGAATTATCTCTAAAAAGGAACAAGAAGAGGTTAAAAACTTCTGATACTTCACATTTATAACAGAAACATAAAAAAAAATAGATATATAAAAGCAAAACTTTTGATAAAAAAAGAAAGAAAAAAACAGAGATAAATTAAAACTAATGAGCAATAGGTACATTAAAAAGAACTTTTTTCTCTGTTTTCGATGCATTACTCTAAAAAGGATCATTAATAAGATAATTTTTCGACTCTACATTTATAACAGCAAAATGAAAAAAGAAAAACACACATAAAAAAGCACGATTTTAATCACCGCCGGACAAGACAAGTTTTCCCAACAGCAACATCTCCAACAACAATGACTTTTGTCAGTCTGAACTTATAAAAATGTAAATATAGTCAATGTTTTTTGAAGACACACATATTGATAATTCAAGTTACATTTTCCCTGGCTATAATTATTTCAGTTACAGTAGAGCCTTGATTATGTCTGAAAAGTCTTTGATTTCAATACTTCTGTTAATCGAAATTGATTTTGAAGTGTTTTTTTCTTCTTCATGCATACTTATTTCTTTTCCTATTTAAATTTCAATGCCCTTTTATGTACGTAAAAATAAATGTTTTATTATTCGGTGATATTAAAAATAAGAATTGTTAAATACTTAAAAAGATATGTTTAACAAATTGTATTTCATTATAATTAAGAAGTTGTATGAATATTATAAATAAATGAAATGAACTTTGAATCAATGACATCAGCTAAGAATTCAAAATTAGATATTGCTTACAATAAATATACAAACTTTACTTTCTAAAAATATTTTGAAAAAGGTATTGTAACTTAAAAAAAGGATCCTTAATTTTGAGGAAAATTCCAAACCTGAAATACTGAGTTCTGGTGAAAAATAGGGCTCTGAGAGTTTAATGCACCCTGGGACAATCAGTTAAAGAATGCTCTCTCGATAATATGATTATTTCCATTGGGTACTTGCACTACAAGAAGATCTCCCATACCCACACATGTGACCTATGATGTCAACTAATCTTTATCACCAAAATGGTGTATTAAAGTTGAGCCAAGTTTCTCCACATAAGTTGTTAATGTTAATTAACGTTAAGTTGTTAATGTTAATTAACGTTAAGTTAACTAAATACAGAGACTGTATCTCACATCGAATTAGTTGAAATATAAGTCTTTCTCGTCTACTTCTTTTACTTAACTTAGATTCATTATTTGTTTATGTATTTTATTGTAACCGTTATATATTTTTGTTTTGTGTACCTGGCAACTTCGATCAACAATTAGTTTATGTTCCACATGGCTTCAGACCTGTCTTTGCTGTTAAGTCTCTATGTAAATATATGGTGAAAGAATCAACAACCAATCAAGATTGAGATACTCGCACTACGCCATTTGCAGGTATCCCTCTGTCTGATGTAACAAACTTACTTCAGACATTAGAGGTCTTACTTTATTTGAATTAATTCATAGTAAGCTAAAAATGATTAGTTCAGTATAATAACATATATTTTAGAGTACAACTAAAAAAAAAAACATGATTTAAATCTTCATAGAAAAGCAATAGGCAACTCTCTTACAATTATTCATTTAAAATTACTTTAATCAGAAAATAAAAATGAGAGAGAGAAATAATCTTACATTTCACATTTTGAAATATTTATTTTATGGCAAGCACTGTGAATCCGGTAGGAAAAGTTCATTTCTCCATGTGGTGAACAATCATAATTGTATGGCTAAAAAGCAATAAGTAAAAGTTTAAAACATTAATCAATAAATAACAATGATATTAATTCATAGAAAAAAAATATTTTAAATTTTTTTAAAGCATTTAAGTGAGGGGACAATAATTAGACTTTTGCAATAATAATTAAAAACTGTCTAATAATGCAATAACTGTCATAAAATTTTAATTTTTCGAGTTTTTCATTGCTGGACATTGTATACTTAAATGTATGGTCCTAATGTAAAAATTATTAATATTAAGATAATCATTAGATAAAATGTTCAAAATTGTCGTTTTTTTCCCTTCAAGTTTCTCAAAAAGTTTGCGTTTTGAGAAAATCACTTATCATATATGCATTAAATTGCTTTCAATTTTTTAAGTTTATTATAATAAAGTTAGAATAAAAGCAAATAGAGTAGTATTCATAAACTAAACAATAAAAAAAAGCTATGAATTACATTAGAATAAAAGAAATGCAAAAAAATAAATAAATAAATAAATAAACTGAAGAATACAAACCTGTTTTTGAAGATACTGGCCAATATTCATCATTAATAGTGTTTGCTACTTAAATAGCCTCATTTTCTGTCAATTTATAAGCAGAATTCACCTGAAAAAAATAAATTATTAAGAAACTCTAAATATTAAAGTTCAACCTAAATCAAATTTCCTAGCTAAAAGAGACATTTCGTCATTTAAAAGCCAAACATTAAAACATAAAACCTGAAAATGTTTAAAAAAGAAGTATTTGAAATAATTTTTGTACAATGGTTATAACTGTAAAATATAAATTGTAATACAATTTTAATTCTGATACAAAGCTGAAACTTTTTATTGTTCTTCTTACTCTTTAGTGGTGTAATGGACTGTTATAGTTATTGATTAATTTTTAATAAAGCCAAATATAATATACCTTAAGCTTAAAAGTGCTACTTGAGCAACTTTTAGCTTTGCTTTTTGGTTTTGCATTTGAGATCTTAAAGCTGTTTTACAAAAGCTCATTGCCGCATAAAATAAAGGTTTCTTTTTGTAAATGTTATTTTTATAGCCACTTTATAAATTATGCAGACACTTTTTCAGAAATTGAAAGTAACACTTTTAATAATATATGCAGTCAAAATATGGCAAACATTACAAGGTTCAGATCTAAAATGAAGAAAAATTTTAAGAAAGAAGTGAAATAAATTAATTTTCAGAACAGTATAAAAGATTCATAACAATTCCATACTTATTAACCCTAAATAACTAAACATTCATAGCAGACTGCTGACTCCAGCCAGTTTTGCGAATTAGCAACCTTGTGGCTACAGGGCAACCAAATATAGGTACAGACGGAAAACATAGAATTACAGCTTTGCCTCCAGTGTAAGGCACTTAAACTGTGGTTTTATTTATTTTCCTTGATGAAAGAGCTCTGAAAAAAACCCCTCTTAAATAATGTGATTTTAAAAGTTAAGTATGCACATACATAACCATAAACCAAGTGGCAGAGTAACGAAGGAAAAATAAATACATAATTAAATTCTTTCAATGTTTCTTAATGTTTGAAAATGCTGCTATGCTTCCATGTAAATTATTCAAAAGCAATTTAAATAAATTATCTAAAAGAACTAAATCAATATAATAAACAAAACAATATTTTCATATCGTAATACAGAAATCCCATGATAAATACTATTTATTACTAAAATTTTGAGATCAATGTACTAAAATAAATTTTTTTTTTAATGTGAGCTATTATTATTAGGATTACTTCAGTTAATTACATAAAATCCTTTCATGATTATAGAACTGAAAAATAATGTTTCAGGAGTTGTGATGCCTTTATAGGCATTACATATTTCCTAGTATTTAAAGATTTCTTTAATTTCCTAAATTAATTTTTTTTAATCATTCTTAATCCAATTTTCATTAAATTAAACTAATTATTTAGTTTCTATTACATTTTATAAAAAGCGAACATAAATATTTTATTCTTTTCCTATTAATCAATACAACAGCTAATTTTTTAAAAATTAGCCGTTGTATTTTAAGCTCCTAAGAACAGTTTTAAGCTCGTTAGCATGTCTTATATACTAGTGAATCGATGTTTAATAATCGTAGTGGTAGTTACCCCACGCCATGCATATTATCTTAGAATTGAAGTAACATTAATCAAGTACTATATGCAGTATATTTCTACAATGAAGTACAATTCACTTCTGTAATCACAATCTTTAATATATATATTTAGAACTTTGATCAAGTAATGAATCATAAAAANTTTGCCCATTTCCTTAACCGCCAGTGGGTTAATAATCGTAGTGGTAGTTACCCCACGCCATGCATACTATCTTAGAATTGAAGTAACATTAATCAAGTATTATATGCAATATATTTCTACAATGAAGTACAATTCACTTCTGTTATCACAATCTTTAACATATATGTTTAGAACTTTGATCAAGAAATGAATCATAAAAAAGAACACAATCAAAGCCATAAATTATTAGAGTTTGAAAAAAAAAAAAAAAACAAACATCAAATTTTGCGGAATCAGCATGGAGAGAAATTCAAAACCAATTTTCTGGATACAACTGCATTGGTTTTGATTATTTTAATTATATTTCTGTTGGAATTGTTCCCTAAATTGGTAAAGCTCACCAATTGGATATTAGTTATAGATATAGTTCATACTTAGTTTCNCTAATGGATTTCTCTATTAGATTCATTTTTATAATTTAATTTTCAACATTAGTTCTGTAGTGGTTACTGCGTATGTTAGTGCTATATGGAAAATATACATTATATGAAAATGTTCAAAAAAAAAAAAGAAACATAAAAATTAGTAATTTATAAAAATATTTTGTTTTTAAAAGAGGGTTAGTAATATATGAGAATATATGAGATATAATGAGAACCTCTTGCTCCTCTGTAATATGAAGATGCAAAGCATTTAAACTTTTCTTGTCCATCTGTATCCTACCTAAAAATAAACAAGAAATCTCAACAAATCACAACATCAAAAATAAATCAACAGACAGAAAACAACAATATATATGTATATATATAGTATACTCTTAATATCTGAAAGTTGAAGGGATGCTAAAAAACGTCAAGATAAAAGAGTTTTCAAGAATAATTTCAGAACCAAATAGGTTCTAAAAAGTAAAAAAGTAATTCTAAAATGCAGACTTGTGGAACATCAGAATAAGTACTAATAAAGATATTTGTATAATAGTTGACCATAAGTCTATATGCAGCAATGATAATTTTATTTTTAAAAGCAACACGAAAATGATTATACAATTAAGAAGATTAATTTACAATAAACTTACATTAATAGAGTTTATTAAAAAAAACTCTAAAATCGCGGTGTGTCCACATTTTTTTTTCGAAATTACTCATCAATAAATTTTTCTATTCAAAAAAATAACTGCCAACTCATCGTTTTCCATGTTCTTGGAGCATTTCATTAAACACTTTAATAAGTGTGCAGCTTTTTTTCCTTCCGACACAATAACGTTGAGTGTTGGTATGCAATGAGTTTCAAAAGAAAAAAAAAAAATCTACTTCGAAAAGTATTTGACATAACAAGGTTTTCAAGATATCTAAGTGTGAGATATTGAGAGTATACTGTATATACATACATATATATAAGATTGTTTTTTGTATAATTTTTTAAATACTAAATTTTACTAAGACTTTTAATAATAAATTTTACTTTTTGTAATTTACAGGGCTGCCACAGGAAAAAGGACAAAATAGTTGCTTTTAGTAGCCAAAAGCATGAAAATAGTAGCCGAAAACTATGAAAATAGTTGCCTAAATAAGAACAAAAATTCATCAAAAATGTGACTAAATTTTGTTAATGACTTAATTGTCATATACCATGATCCATTTAGTAAAGTTGGTGGCAAATATTATAATTTTTATATAAACGTTAATGTTCCAGCACAATTTTTCCTTTTATCAATAATTTATCTAGGAAATATATA